AAAAGGGCGTTCAGCCAATCAGCATGATTTCGCGCATGTCACTTTGCGAACCAATCAAAAATCTTCGTCGTAGTGACAAAATCGTCCAAACACGACAACATTTGTCACATTCTCACTTGTGGCCGGCGTGATTGAAGTGGTACGTTTTTGTTCCTACTAAACTTTGTTGTGAAGCGAGTCTTTTAATTGCGATGCCTATGTGTTACCAGGTAAAACCGCGAAAAGGTGACGCCTTAGTGATACACCAAACGATATGGGGATATGGTGACTATGTTTTTTTTATATTTTAGTTTATTTTTGCGTTAACCACATATATATATATATATACATAAATTCATCCCTCAAAGGAATAAAATTTCTACAAAAAAATATAAAGTAAAACGAAAAAGGAGGTACATGTATGTCAACGTCACAGCATATTAAATGATTCCCATTTGCCAGTGTGCTTCGTTAATTTGCCTCCCCCTATCGCTATCTCTTTTTCAAAATTATAAACTTGCCTAATGAGATATAGACATCCATGGAAAGAAGGTTTTTCGTTTCTCATTTTAGAAAAGTAGATATGGCGTTTAGCTAGAAGAATAATTTGCCAGAAAGTCTTCACAATATGGGGATATGATGTGACTATGTTGTAAGCTGTATCTCACTCACATTGGTGAACACCACACGATATGGTGACTATGTTGTAAGCTGTATCTCACTCACATTGGTGAACACTACACGATATGGGATATGGTGACTATGCTGTATGTTATATCTCACTCACATTGATGAACACCACACAATATGAAGATATGGTGACTATGTTGTATGCTGTATCTCACTCACATATGGGGATATGGCGACTATGTTGTATGCTGTATCTCACTCACATTGGTGAACACCACACAATATGGAAATATGGTGACTATGTTGTATGCTGTATCTCACTCACATTGGTAAACACCACACGATATGGAGATATGGTGACTATGTTGTAAGCTGTATCTCACTCACATTGGTGAACACTACACGATATGGGATATGGTGACTATGCTGTATGTTATATCTCACTCACATTGATGAACACCACACAATATGAAGATATGGTGACTATGTTGTATGCTGTATCTCACTCACATATGGGGATATGGCGACTATGTTGTATGCTGTATCTCACTCACATTGGTGAACACCACACAATATGGAGATATGGTGACTGTGTTGTATGCTGTATCTCACATTAGTGAACACCACACGAAATGGGGATATAGTGACTATGTTGTGTGCTGTATCTCACTCACATTGGTAAACACCACACGATATGGGGATATGGCGACTATGTTGTATGCTGTATCTCACTCACACTGGTAAACACCACACGATATGGGGGAGATATGGCGACTGTGTTGTATGCTGTATCTCACTCACACTGGTAAACACCACACGATATGGGGGAGATGTGGTAACTGTGTTGTATGCTGTATCTCACTCACATTAGTAAACACCACACGAAATGGGGATATGGTGACTATGTTGTATGCTGTATCTCACTCACATTGGTAAACACCACACGATATGGGGATATGGGGACTGTGTTGTATGCTGTATCTCGCTCACATTGGTAAACACCACACGATATGGGGATATGGCGACTATGTTGTATGCTGTATCTCACTCACACTGGTAAACACCACACGATATGGGGGAGATATGGCGACTGTGTTGTATGCTGTATCTCACTCACACTGGTAAAAACCACGCGATATGGGGAGATATGGCGACTGTGTTGTATGCTGTATCTCACTCACACTGGTAAACACCACACGATATGGGGGAGATATGGCGAATATGTTTTTTTCTGCATCTTACTCACATTGGTACACACCACATAATACAGTGGTCAATATCAGTGGTTAATTTTCATAATTACAGGGCTCAGTCAGCTCGGATTATAAAAACACTTTTTCTCGTCGTTGTATATCGAAGAGCTGTTGATTTAATTTCAACGCAAAGAGAATATTATCCGACGTAGTTAATACAAATATTTATCTAATAATTAGCTACTTTGTAAATTCAATTTGACATATTACAATGTATTGTATCTTAGTTCGTTAGGGAGATAGTTACAGTGGCGGATCCAGCAAAATGTATCGGGGGGTCCAAGCTTCGCTTAAGATATACGGAGCGTAAATCGCAGAGAAGCTATGCGAAATCCAGATAATATATCGTCATGCCCCCCCCCCCTTTCTGGATCCGCCACTGGATAGGTATCAAGTAATCTACAGTGTATATATTCACGTTTTTATGTAAATTCTATATTTTGTTATTTCCTTTTAATATTGACCCAATTTAAATGGCGGTAGTCGTCGTACAGCGCGTCTCCAAATGTAAATAAACAATGTAGTTTGCATGAGATGCATGAGGGGTGATGTATAGGAAAGGTAGCTTATATACAATACTTGCATAGAAGGCAGGCTGAAGAACCTGAATTCATATTTAAAGTGCATGTGAAATGCACACCAACATATTTGTGTTTCTGGTTTCGATTGCCATGAAATAAGCATTTGTAAAAAAAATTAAATTAAATAATGAATCATCTTTGAATAAATTGAACAAAAAAGTTTTCAAGTTATGGTCACGCCCTTTCCTGTCGCAGTCGACTGTTTCCGGCTTTCCGACTTCTTCACAAATGAAACTGCGCCACCAAACGTCAGTCAAAGGGGAAGCCATGCAAGTGCCAAGCACTGAATACCATAAAAACTCGTAGTAAAACTATTCATTTTACAAGTGTGGGAATTACTAGTATGCTGAAGAAAATCTTGATTTTATTCTCGGAAAATTAATAGATTACTTGAAGAAATGAATTTAAAATGTCTGTCTGTTATTTTATTTTATTTCTTGGGTGCAAAACCTAATGTTATCCAACAATTGAGTTTGTCCTCTGGTGACTTCCTCGTTTTTGTATGTATCAAACAGAAAGTAAACTCATAATATACCAATGCAAGCCAAGGTGACACTTTGCGAAATTAACGTAGGACAAATGGATCCGAACTCCCGTAAACAAATAAATTATTACTGTACTAATAATATACCGTAATATTTGTTATCCAAGCTTTGTTAGAAAATGAGTGGTAGTTTATTTTAGATTATTTAAAAGCCAATAGACAAAAAATTGAAACATGGAGCGTTCTCGGGAACCGTGTCATAGTCCCACTACCATATCTGCGTTGTGCAGCAATGTGCCCTGGTGACGTCACCAGGGGAATAAAGGTGTGCAAATGAAGACTAATGAGGAACCTCGCTGTGAAATGCGAAAAATGACTTATAGTAGACAGAAACTTTAAAACTCTTTTTTTTTAAATAAAATATGTATCAAAAGGTGTAGTAACGGGAAAATAAACTAAGAACCGACCACTTTGAAAAAAAAATAGTTTAGAGGATTAATTGACAAAAAATAAAAATATTATACTCCGGTAATTAATTAATTATTAAGGTTCGTCTAAGTAACCATTCACTCTAAAAATTGAAACAGGGCGTCATACCGCAGTTGCTGGCAAATGAACGGGTATATCTTCTCAGTAACACAAATCAGATTGAAGATGAACAACGTTTTGTGATGCCATGTCTTTGCTCAACAAAGAAATGTTTTACACTTATGAAAATAGAAAGAAATATGCACAAATTTCAATCAAATAAATCAATGATTAATTCTTCAAACTAGTATTTGAAAATATGTTTTGAATTCAGACAGTAACCCTTCTTAGACATTGATGTGACTAATTTTACTTTTTGTTGTTTCAAATTTCTCTGTGTTTTATTAGCTTTGACATGTCGCTATTTGTTTGTTTTTTGTCTGTTTTTTGTACATTGTATCTATTATCATTCATTCTAATAGATGCTAAGTGATTAAATACAATAAAATGACGTTGCCGAATTCGTAAAGATTTAATCTTATATGTCGATAATTGACCATGTGAAACACAGCGACAAGTTCTCGTTGGTCTTTGTGTAATATTGTTACTGTATAAGGGAGTATGGTTTGGGTGTCAGGTAGATGACCTTAACTGAGGTAGGCTACCACTGAAGACTTATCGCTTTTATTTCAACAACTAATCAAATAATGATAACAATATGTCAATATGCACCGTGTGACCTAAGTAAACCTAACGAGTTTGGTATAATAGCGGTGATAAGTGAGCCGCTTGATTACCATATACATCATGCATTCGTACTCGATGAAACTGTTGAGCCACCGAGCATTGCGAGTCAGATGCTTACTGAGCCAGTTCGTGTAGCCGTACCGGTATTGAGATTTTCTACAAGTATGTACCCTTATATAATGGTAACATCACCGTGTTGTACCGCGCTACTGCTTACTGTGGATCGTGCCAATCGGTTGCCATGGAAGCAGAAAACAATGCTCGGTGTTGAATCATTTCACACGCATAATGGTACTAGAATATCGCCTTAAATTTGCACCCACAATTAATTGGCGGGTGTCTTTCGTTGCCCTTAGCAAAATGGTGTTACTGAAATGATATGAATTCCTCCATGTAAATTCTTGGCATGCTTGTGTCGACAGGGTGGTAGTATAAAATAATACATACGCATATGTCTTTTTGATGTATGGATTGCTAGATCGGTGTGCATTGTGGGGTAAATGTGACAAATTGAATAGTGTGTCTTTATTATTAGTAGATGTCATGACAGTGTATAACATACGTCACAGCCACTACGCTGTCTAATAGTCAAAATGGCAGACGGTACACGGTGTATACACACATGGCAGACCTACACACTGGGTTGAGTTAATTTATTGTGCCACAAGGGATCACGAACGATTGTGAGTTCACACGCGACACTGAGTGGCCCGGCCTGTTGCACGACTAGCCTCAGACTGTCACTGTTTAAAAAGGGCTTAGGTTGATCAGTCTATTTGTATGTAAATCTCACCGGTAATCGGTTCCGTTTTTAGACTATTGTTTTCAACGCCTTATTTTTTTCCTTTTACGCACAGGTCTCGTCCACACACGCCGATAGATACTATCATGAAGAAGGCCTTTCTGGTTCGTGAATTCAATCATTTTATCACGTGTTCTATCTGTGGCGGTTACCTTATCAAGCCGTCCACCATTGCTGAGTGCCTGCATACATGTAAGTGGGTCTATCCGTTTGTTCCATTTTGGCATTCACAGCATAGCCAGCTGCTCCTTTCTTGTTACAAGCTGTTGTTTGTCAATACGCATCATGTTTTTTTAATCAATACCACACATAGAGAACCACGGTTACCGCAATGTGAATACGCCGCGTATTACCGACTTCAAATCTCGTGATTTTTATTAACAAAGTCATATATGCGATTTTCCAAATGTTTGGAAATCAGTACAAACTCTTCTTTGCTTTGTTCCCCGTATGTGACGTTTTACACGCCAGTATTACATGTGTACGCTACCCGTCTGTGCGGGCACCACCTGTGTCGTTGTTTTATCACTGCCACCTACCCGAGCACCCTCATAATATTCCCTTTAGGTAAGACACACCCATGGAATTACATATATGGATAACTACATGTGATATATAAGCATAGGTTTTACGATCACTAACACACACACACACACACAGGGGGTTACTTGTTCACTATTGACACGACGCAATTTGTTTATAGAGTGGCAATCACCAATAGCATTATCCGCTAGCATGCGTTCAGTAGCTTTTGTGTTATTTCTAAATAATATACCTGACAAAGCCTGTCATACTTACACTAACGCCACACAGGCTGATCTTATTTCGCCGCTTATACGTCGCACTGAAAGTTGAACACCAAAACGGCATGTCCCTTTTTCACTTCCCTTTATTCATACTGAGTGCTGAATTGTCATGTATCAGCCATGTTAAACTAAAGTAGTGTTAACACCCAAAGCTATTTGATTGTCCTTACAGTGCAATTAAATTCAATCAGCCGCGATCAGTGCGTTCAGGGATAAAGATGGAATGACGGAAGCGGGCAGGAAGCCATCTTGAATAACAACGTAATCCGGAGGATAATTTTAGAACTGTCGGGTTTAATGAATTTTATATGTATGACGATTATAAATTTAGGAAATATCGCCCGTTGCTATGATTCTGTATGAGTTCATTAAACATATGATTTCCCTGCAGTGTAAAGCATTTCAACCGTAACTCGAGTGCTCATTTGTATCGCAGTCATCGCAATATCTGAAACACGTCGCTCTGTTTACAATGAGTGAGTTCATAAACAGAATATTGCGATATCAAAATAACCCTACTGAAATATTTTCTAAAATGCAATTAACTGTGTTTCTCATGTATGCGACCTACTTAAGAATTGCTAGCGGAATTCTGTGTTGATTTATATGAATTAATATCTCCGCTCACGTAGGCATTGCGGCTATAGTTTGTACTACATATAGTGTGTTTTTATTTCTTATCATTAGCCGTGGGTCGTGCTGTATCTGAGTCGCCTTTTCTTCGACGTCGTCAATACCTCTCTAACTTATCTCTGGGTTGGTGTGTTTAACACATCTCTCAGTAGTTGAAATGTTTCAATGGTCGTCTCAATGTGGTATTCAAGTGTCGAGTTCACTGACTCGTCGAAACACTGTTCCAGGCGATTACTCGCCAACAATGATATCGCTATACGGACAGTTATGTGTGGATGTTGTGGTTACATATATAAAGGACCGCCACGGTCGTCGCGACCCGTAAAACACGTTGTTAATTTGAAAGCGCGCTGCGTGGCGAGAGGGAATAAGTAGACTCATTTGTTTGTGTGACACTTCCAAATACGTTATGTCAGGGAGCTGTACTGGTTATGCACAACCACTTACGATCGCTGTCGGTTCCATACAACGTATACAATGAGTGTAAACTGTGTGTGTTTACATGAATTTCATCTTTCCGCGGTGTGGGTTGGGTGAATACCACCTGGGTTGTCATTCGATGTGTGATTCACTGCTCCGACTAGTAACAATATTTAAAACATACTCTACAATTTTCTATAGAACATAGATTACACTGTCTATAACCATAGACCTTAGAAAACAGGGACATGCAACTTCTGTCTGAGACAAAGGAAAATCCAGTTTCCTGTGTGCAACGTGGGTTATAATCTCTTGTATAGATAATCCCATTAATATATATACCTATACATCTGAAACAGTTTTAGTTCTTACCTTTCTACGCTTTTTTATATGTTTAATAAGTTATGCTGTGCCAATATTCACATTTGTCAGTGTATAACGGGTGTACTATGCTATATCTGTTCTAAATATGATGACAAATCCACTGGTTATAATGACACAAATGTTGACAGGTCATTGTTTACGTTTTTAATCAAATGTATTTTTTCTGATTTTATTCTAACCACAAAGTTGGCTCATTTTGTGTAGCTACTCCCTGGCAGCCATGTTTGGCTAATGGAACAGGAGAGGATGTTACAGTGGTGTTGACATAGCTTTATTGTCAGTTTCACTAAGGTGTTAATTGGGTAGAGGATTATAACTAAGGTTTCATGAAAGGAATACCTGCAGTAGCATGTCCCTGTTTTCTGAGGTCTATACTATAACACAGATCGCTACATTCTAGTGAAGAAATACATCACGTGACTTTATGACATCATCAATCGCGCGTCACTAGACATTAATATAAAGTGAGTACCTGTTATGATGTGGCAATGCCTAGAATTGGGTACACTACGCATTGAATGCCTAGAACCTTGGGTACATCGCGCACTCAGTGCCCAGAACCTTGGATGCACCGCGCATTGAGTACCTAGAACCTTGGGTAAATCGCGCACTGAGTGCCTAGAATTGGGTACACCACGCATTGAATGCCTAGAACCTTGGGTACATCGCGCACTGAGTGCCTAGAACCTTGGGTGCACCGCGCATTGAGTGCCTAGAACCTTGGGTCCATCACGCACTGAATGCCTAGAATTGGGTACACCACGCAATGAGTGGCTAGAATCTTGGGTACTTCACGCACTGAGTGTCTAGGCATACCGCCACATGTAAGCCATTCTCCTAGTAAAGAGATCACAGTTTACGACTTGCGGTTCACGGTTGGTTTCGTTGCTCTTCTTCGTAGTTGGCTCTTTCAAAACAACTGAGATAATTTTTCAAGTACTTATTTAACACCAAAAGTTCGTATGTTCGACTGAAAGTGTCCAAAACGCCTTGGATTGTACAGTTGTCTTGTAAAAATTTGCGTAAACATGAGCCGTTGATGGTGAAACCCACAAATCGTCTTTTGAGTAAGTTATATCATAATGAATTCGAGTATGAATATAAATATATACATATTTGCCATAAACCATAATTCGGCGCGTACGTCATGTACAAAATAACCTTAAAATAACAACAAACGGCTCAAAGATATTAGGCTAAAATAACGTATTGTGGTGACATGCTGGTCCCCGCGTCACACGAGGTTAGTGACGAACCTTGTCGCAATCATCAATGCCAGTGCCACCTTTCTCTCTCAATCACAACTGTTTCTATGAATCAAAAAGTCGTCGCATGAGACCCATACCACATGGAACCAATAACAAATCTGGCAACAATCAATGTATGCATGTGGAATCAAATAAAACTGCATTGTTCATTAAATACAACACGTTTTATCAGACCTTTGCATTTGGGATCACAACATTGTCAATAGACTTCACACAATGCGTCATTATATCGACTTCAATGATGTAATTGTATCTGCTTATAAAATTGCGCCACATAAACCACGATCTTATGATCATCAAAGGGAGGGAATACTAGTTATTATCGTTCCATTGTAAATTATGCCAATTGTGTGTAATCGTTTTGAATCCGTACGCTTATAAAGCAATAATCACGTCGCCATATTGTGACGGAATCTAGTCGAACGTGATGCATACGTTGAGGGTCTCGAATCCCCATTGAAACATTGATCGACCTATTACGTATGCAGTTGTCATCGTTACTTGTCACATGTTCGCTTAATGGCTAGTAATACATCTCACTCGCAAAATACAAGTTGGGTAGATACCTAGGTAGGCCTTAACGATGATCTAATGTAGTTCATATGAGTTGGTGATTGCGTAAAGTTAACTATTCGAAAACATGGTCATAATGACAGAGATAATTAGAATAAAAGTAGTATTGTCGCCATGGAATATAATGTTAGTGAAGAGAGGCATACAACAAACGTTGAACCACGCCCATCAATAGTCTACTTAGCGTGCCGAAGTCGTGTTCTGACTTGCAATCTATTATTTTTATTCGCATGGAAGTAAATTATTCTGGTGTCGGTAAAATATATTCAGGGACGGGGGGTCGGGGGCTCAACTTGTGAACTCGTGTTAATGCCAAGTATGTATAGTCGGTGTCGGGATTTAGTCTAAAGTAAAATCGGTTTGTATTACCAAAACAGTGCCGATGCAGGTTGTCCACGACTGTTTACGTGGATCGTTCTACTGACACCAAAGCATCGTTTTCCAAAGAGGGATGTAGATTTATTCTGAGATGCACTCGTGCGAATACGATTATTTCCAATTGTGTGCACAGACAACACGCACAATTTTTACAATGGACTGTTCAATTTTATCGATACAATATGCACACCTCGCATCGTTGCTACGTCATATACGTCATATGTACGTCAACTTGACAGCAACGTTTTCTTTGACTATACGAGACCTTAACAAAATGGTATGTTTCATGATTAATGCATTACAAATATTTCACTACCCTGTATCACGGAATTCGGTACTTGGGGCACATAGCTAAAATAAGGTTTTAAAATAAAGTAGCAATACCAATCGAGCAAATGGAAGGAGTTTTCCCTCTATATTTGTGGGTTTTGTTACTATTCCATTTCTTTACTTTATCGTGTATGTTTTGTTTTATTATTGAAGTACAATTTGCAATTATATCATTATAACATAGCAATGCCGTCAAAATGGGTTTCACGCTACTAATGCTTGATCTGTTTTAGAGCGGCACTACCATCGCCAACACATCGCCGAGACCCCTCCCTGGAACACATAACCCTATCTTCCCCGAGGTACTGTGACAAGAACACATACATATCACCATATATAGATATTGCAGGGAAATAATAGTAGTCACATCTATCCGTGTTATTGACAAATGGCGAGAACCAACATCTCTGTAGTTGTTGGATGATGTGCATGCATGCCGATAGCCAAAATAATTGCAAAAAAGCTTTCACTATTGTAGATGCGCATAATCTCTCGAATCTCATATTTCGTTATGGTTGATTTGCAGATAAATTATAATTGCCTGTCGTAACGGATAACGCTGTCTGCTGACCCTTAAACGTATACCATGTCAACCCCCAACTCGTGTTTTGTGTGACCTTTATTACAATATAACGTATGCGGATGTATATTAGTTTCGCTATCTTTGAGTGTGATCATAAAAAATAACAATCATCGCGGACGTTCGCATTAGTTGTAGATATTAATGGCATTTAAGTGACTGTCGAACACTCAAACGGAAACAATGTTTCATTATTAACGGCGCATTTTTTTTGCTATAATACACCTCATGTGTGGTATTAGTGAATGTACATTTGCACATGCATAATATTATACACACACTGAATGTAAGTTCAAAATAGATGCTGGATTCTTCGAGTTATAGACATCGAGTTACGAAAACATCGGATTATAATATTTTAGAAACCACGCCCATTTTTGATAAACCACGCCCAAATTGTAACTCGATATTTAATTAACTATTAACCGAACTTCGAGAAACACGGATTTTTTGTATCTCTAACGTTTTGAGATTCCCGTAACTTCCCGTTTCCCGAAGTTCTGTTAATATTTAATTAACATTTGAGTTACTAATTTTGAACGTTAAAGGAAACAACAAATCTATGTTGCCCGTAACTCAAAGTTAATTTATGTTGTATTTTTAGTTTGCAAAAGTTGTATCGTCAGACATTTCGAAGAAAGTAAAAACTGCCCACGATGTGGCATACAAGTCCACGAAACCCATCCCTGTGAAATGCTCAGGTAATACAGTACATCTTAAAAGTTATATTTTATTTCATTGTTAAAGTTGGATGTTCATTAAATCCACTCCTGTTAACGATTGTCGGCTGTTGTCGGCTGTTGACGTTTTTTCATATATCTGTTCGTCTTAGTCGTCGTTATATATCTGCAATATTTGATTAAAAAACATGAACTTAGTGGATTTTACATGGTATAACATGTTAATAATATTTGCTTTCATCTTTTAGAATGGATAAAACCATGGAAGACATCGTATTTAAATTAGTTCCCGGTATCCAAGAAAGTAAGTGGTGTCACGTGATTTGTGAAACCATATCCTCCAAAAACAGCGTAATAATAGGTTAATATAAATTAAATCTTACGCGTCATCCATTGTCACCTCTAGACTGGTAACGTGCACACTGGGAGTGCAATCGCTATTAAACTAAGTTGAACAATGCTCGATTATAATAATCATTAGTCAACTGCACCGGGATTTGTACTACGCAATCTTGCTCGATTGGTAATACTTCGGACTTGTTTCCATTGTTCCATAATCAACTTATCAATATTTATCACTGAACTTTGAACATGACAGGGCATTAAAGTCGCGTTGACAAGAACATGGTGTTTGAATATTAGGTTGGAGTTACGAATTCGAATACAACTAGGGGTAGGGACGTCACGCATCTAGTAGCGTCACTTCTGAGTTTGATATAGAAGTTGCCGATAGTGACGGTCTCTTAAATTAAATTAAATTAAATTAAATTAAATTAAATTAAATTAAATTAAATTAAAGTGTTGTAACCATTGGTATGCTTGGCAACTATTAACAGTTATATTTCCGATCTTTTTGCAGGAGAAAAACAGCGAGAACGAGATTTTTGGACGTCAAGGGAATCGGAAGAACCCAAGCAAGGGGGCGGCAACGGTTCGTACGCTCACTGCATGTCATTGATTAGCTTTATGGTCATCGCCGGGCCATCACAAACAACGATTTGCGAAATGTCATCCTCTCATAAGTAAAAACTTCCAAACAACGATTTGCGAACTGCTATCCTGTCATAAGTAAAAACTTTCACCTTTTCAATAATCGTGGTTTATTTTGATAAACTATATTCCTACCCATCACTTCGCCGTAATGCAAATGCCAAGACCAGTTAGATTAAATTTAACGTTAAATTTCACAGAATTAAAGGCATTATTGCTAAATACGGTTAAGTAAATGTCATTATTTTATAAGGTTGCATTTTAATTGAGTTTAATTAAATTGTATGTAGGACTGTAATTTAATTGAGTCGAATTAAATTACAATCATATAAAGGGGATTATTTTGATTAAGTTTTATTAAATTGCAATTAAATTTCATTCCCATATGGGATTGCAGTTTAATTGAGTTTAAATAATATGTATCTTTAATCGCGGCTCCTTGTTGACCATCGCCAGTAGAAAGGGGTCGACTACTACCGAATATTATAATAATGGTCCAACTTTGTTTAATGTTCGGATGACTGTATTCCATCAGACCTGGTTGGCGCCACAGTAGTGTTAGGGATCCAATATCAGCATGAGCGAAATACGACAACACTGTGGCCCTGTACGTAGTGCAGTAGTGGAATATAGTTTATGTAACAAAATGCACTGCATGCACAGTTAACGCTTGCACTGCAACAGTGACATACAAATCAGTGATGTACTAGGATCACGATTACTGTAATTTATGGGTTAATGGTATTATTATCATGTGTGATTTTTTCACATACCGCGTTAACATCGTCTTTGAAATAAAATTGATGTTTGTTGAATAGCGTTAATTCAACATGTGGAATGACACTACCGATCAATTTTTGACAACTTTCCCTGTGATATGAGTGACTGTGTATTACTTGTAATATATATATATATATATATATATATATATATATATATATATATATATATATATATATATATATATGTATATTTGTATATTTGTTTCAGATGAACCAGATGCTAAACGATTAAAGACTGATAACGGTGAGGCGAACGAAGAATATAACAACCACACAACGACGTACAATAAAGAGAATGACTATCACAGGGGAGATCCTCAAATTGCTTTCTGTCTCGATTGCTCACAGTAAGTTATTCATAAAAACGACAAACATTCAATTCACGTGCAATGTATTTGCGTGATTGAGTTCACAAGACAGCCATTGAGATCACAGAACAGCAATTGAGTTCCCAGTTCAGTCATTGAATTCACAGGCCATCCTTAGAGTTGACAGGTCAGTCATTCAGTTGACAGATTAGTCATTCAGTTGACAGGTTAGTCATTGACTGGCAGGCCAGTCATTATGTTCACAGGCCAGTCATTGAGTTGACAGGTTAGTCATTGAGTCGAAAAGTCAGCCATTGTGTTCACAGGCCAGCCATTGGGTTGACAGGTCAGCCAGTGGGTTGACAGGTCAGCCATTGGGTTCAAAGGTCAGTCATTGGGTTAATAGGTCAGTCATTGGGTTCATAGGTCAGCCATTGGGTTCATAGGTCAGTCATTGGTTCATAGGTCAGCCATCGGGTTGACAGGTCAGTCAATAGCTTTACAGGACTGGTCAACCATTAGGCTATGTATACATGTAACAATTAATTAACGAATAATTTTTTTTTCCATTTTTCATTATTTCATTTACATTTAACACTTCAGTTCATATATATATATATATATATATATATATATATATATATATATATATATATATATATATATATATATGGACCTTTTAAAACTAATGCTCATCATCATATGGTACCCATCATCGATTCTTACTAGTTACTCACGAAAATATCGACCACATCTATTTGATACTCATGTTATATCCTCATCTCTCTGATTTCACCATGTGTTGTTATACTGACATCACTACTTGGCTGTATGCCTTGAGGTCCATATATCTTTCTCTCACTGATTTCACCATGTATTGTAATACTGACATCACTACTTGGCTGTATGCCTTGAGGTCCATATATCTTTCTCTCTCTGATTTCACCACGTATTGTAATACTGACATCACTACTTGGCTGTATGCCTTGAGGTCCATATATCTTTCTCTCTCTGATTTCACCATGTATTGTAATACTGACATCACTACTTGGCTGTATGCCTTGAGGTCCATATATCTTTCTCTCACTGATTTCACCATGTATTGTAATACTGACATCACGACTTGGCTGTATGCCTTGAGGTTCATATATCTTTCTCTCTCTGATTTCACCATGTATTGTAATACTGACATCACTACTTGGCTGTATGCCTTGAGGTCCATATATCTTTCTCTCACTGATTTCACCATGTATTGTAATACTGACATCACTACTTGGCTGTATGCCTTGAGGTCCATATATCTTTCTCTCTCTGATTTCACCATGTATTGTAATACTGACATTACTACTTGGCTGTATGCCTTGAGGTTCATATATCTTTCTCTCTCTGATTTCACCATGTATTGTAATACTGACATTACTACTTGGCTGTATGCCTTGATGTCCATATATCTGACATCACTACTTGGCTGTATGGCAGAATGTAAAAACAGGACCAATGAGACAAGACTCCCTAGATTGATGTTTTTTTAAATGATACTCGTGCGTTTCATTTGTTTTATATAGTTTTAGTATGTCCCATTGAGAACCTTATTTGCTGAGAATATTTGTTTGAAAATGAATGCTAAATTTGTCTAGTGAAGGGAGCATGGCCCTATTGTACCACTCTGTTCCAAAATTCATGTTAATCGCTCATTGTGTTAAAAAGGCAGCTTATAGAGAGAAGACTTCACCAAATTAATGAAATAATTGTTTTGTTTTTGCAACCTGACGACCCCAATCCATCGTTAGAACAATGGGTGAAACTTTTTCTCTTGTAAAGTATGTTCTCAACAAAATAATTGTATAACCTAGCTAAAATAACTTTTAATGAATAGTATTAGTCGAGTGTTTTCAAAATTTGTGTAAACAAACAATATAAGGAAGCTGGAGTTGAATTCATATTCTGCACTACTGAGTATGTAACTGCACATATATGCAATGCATTATGGGATAGAAATTCAAATTCTGCACTACTGAGTATGTAACTGCACATATATACAATGCATTATGGGATAGAAATTCAAATTCTGCACTACTGAGTATGTAACTGCACATATATACAATGCATTATGGGATAGAAATTCATATTCTGCACTACTGAGTATGTAACTGCACATATATGCAATGCATTATGGGATAGAAATTAATATTCTGCACTACTGAGTATGTAACTGCATATATATGCAATGTATTATGGGATAGAAATTCAAATTCTGCACTACTGAGTATGTAACTGCACATATATACAATGCATTATGGGATAGAAATTCAAATTCTGCACTACTGAGTATGTAACTGCACATATATGCAATGCATTATGGGATAGAAATTCAAATTCTGCACTACTGAGTATGTAACTGCACATATATGCAATGCATTATGGGATAGAAATTCAAATTCTGCACTACTGAGTATGTAACTGCACATATATGCAATGCATTATGGGATAGAAATTCAAATTCTGCACTACTGAGTATGTCACTGCACAATATACAATGCATTATGGGATAGAAATTCAAATTCTGCACTACTGAGTATGTAACTGTATTTTTATTACATTAAAATTACAGTTTAATAACCTTCTTTGAGCAATGCTTGTAATAGTACTTTGTATTGGCCATACATATTAAAACATGACATAAATTATTCAATATAGTCTTTATCTATTATTTATTGATGTTTCAGTCCACAGGATGAAGGTGAAAATAATAACAATACAAACACAGCCGCCATTACTATGATTCAGGTGAGTCCGATGGATTTTCATGATAGGGCAGTGAATGTTGAGGGCGCTAGTCATCGCGACTGACATGCATAGTAACAACCTACAAAATACTAAATCATTTCACTCTAGATTATAATTTTGATTTAACTTGTTGTGTTCGTAATATAATTAGAAAATGTAACTCACTTCTTTCATGCCAGGCCTTGCCACGCCGCTTTATTAGATGTTCGTCCCGTGCAACTGTTGGATTAATCAAGAAGTTTATTGTTCGCAAACTTGAACTTTCCAAAGATTTGGAGGTAAGAAATTACTACAATACGGACACAGCAAAGTATTACATTACAACGGTTATTTGAAATACACGTGCTATACAGTATGTAGTTATTCAGAATGTGTATGGCAATCCCTTATTTGGTGTTGTATAAGTTGTCATCACTTTTTGAGTAAGACAATGTTGGACAATACAGAAATTGTTATTAACCATAAAATGTTTTATTACAGCTTGATCTACTATGTAATGGTGAAATAATGGGCAAAGACCATACACTGGAATTTATATATAGAACACGAGGGAAGCTGCAGGTAAGTGAACTTGACCATGCTATTATAATTTTGTTGCTGGTTGTTAGGGTGGATTCGATTAGTTGCATCAGTAATGATGTCATCTCATAGTACCGGTAGTTTTAGACGCTAGTGGCGAGAAAACCTGAACGATCCCATGTCTCACTAATAAGGTAAAATGGATATACATGACACAAGATATGCATATTAGATACATAACAATTGTCTATTTCATTTCACAGAAATACCCGATGACGTTGCAATACAGACCGAAAATCAATTTCACGTGACAGTGGCACCTGTGGACAAAATGCCAATATTTGACTTTTATCACCTTGGCAACAATCACACAATTCAAAACCATGATAATCACTACTGTATATCGTATATAACTTAACTTCAGAGGAATGACACATAACTCCTGGTTTATGTAAATTTGATTGTCAAGATGACAGTCCGTTGTTATATTTTGTTGTCGAATGTTTTGTAAATATCCTGAGCAGCAATAGTTTATATAATGAACTGCCGATACTGAATAGAGTACAATTTTATTAGTACAGTGTATGCAAAGTGGGACATTTTAATGTTGGAGAGCACCGCTTATGTTTACTTGTGTAAAATTATAAATGTGTTTGTTGTTGTTGTTGTTGTTGTTGGAAAGACACACAACACAAATATTTGGCTGTTGATAGTAGAAGGTATTAGATTACAATATAAATATTAAATTATATTATATTTATAAATGTGTATTTGTTTATTTTTAATATGCTACCATATCTGAACGAGGCAGAGGCTGGATGGACTGAATGATAAAATCTACATCAGTAGCTACCTGTAGAGGGTATCCTTGATATAGCTGCATAAGTTGTTTTTACATTTTTTCAAAAATGTTCAAAATTATGGAAAAATAAAATAAAAATAAAATTAATATAGACTAATTTGGCCATGGTGCCCAATGACTACGGTACATTCCAGTAAGCAAAATAGCACATCAAATCTGAAATACCTAAATACATTATCATTGACTGTTGTATAACTTTAGTATAACTTTAGTTGTATTACAGTAACACATTCACAATAAATAGTCACTTGCTGTATGAATACCCTGGGAAATGTACTCCAATTGAAGTACATGAGACTGCAGTTAATTACTAGCACCATGGTATCGACGCAACACAAATTGAACATGTTGAATTGGGCGAGCACATCTTCTAGAAATTACTGATATGTTTGGGAATAAGCTTAAGTCTTTCACTCATTCAATCATTCAGTCTTTCATTCATCCAATCATTCAGTCTTT